ATATGTACTTATCAATAAAATCACAGAAGCTGAATTGCTGACTTATGTGTCCGATGTAGCCACCTAGAAAAATAGCTAACAGGAATGGGCTCCTTGAGCAATATGTTAAGACTATGTACAACATGTTTGCAAAACGACAGAAAATCTGAGCAGACACCGACGTTAAGATTGTTTTATGTCTGTAAATAGCTGGAACTTCTTGTGTACTTTTTGCATGTGTTTAGTGATACGGACTTCAGATGATCTAGATGGTTAACATAATGTTATTTTATAGCTACATTCGAGATAGTGAAGTACAGTAATTGAAAGAGCGTGAGTGGCTACTTTATTGGGAATATTGCAGATACTTCTGAAGGTTTAAAATGGCAATTAAATATTAAATTATGTAAAAACACCCGGGGTTCTCTTTGTTATATCTGCAGAGGTTTAAAAGCTTTATTTGGACAAAGTCTGTGTGATACCTTAAATGATGTTTTTATTTATTTAACTGATTTCACTTACTCGAAGGCCTTAGCTCACTTTAAGATAATGCACCAAATTGACAACTTTTAGGATGGCTTTTTAACTATTAGTCAAACTGTAAAGTCCAATGTAGAATCTTGTGTTTCTATCTTAGCGGTGTGACAGTTCTATTTGGACTTAAGTATTTAGGACATGAATTTACTCTAGCCTCTTTATCCACCCCACGAGTTCACTATTTTGATGTCATCATTTATATAACTATATAAAATATCAGAGACACATATAGTTTGGAGGGGGCATTTGTTCCTCTGACAACTCTGGAGGGACAGAATTGTTGTGCAATGTAGTAGCGTTTTACTCACCAGGTTCTGAGCCGCATCAGTGCGCCCCCTGCTGACCATCAGTGCTCTCACTGAGCACTTCAAAAGTTTATTTTGTTCTGCAAACCGTATCATATAAAATTAACGACAACCAATAAAATTATCTTATATGTTTCAACTGTAAAAGTCCAAAACAAAATAAAGCTAGTTTTAGTGAAGCTAGAAAGCTCTGGTTTGGCTTCGTTCTCTTTGGCTGAACTAGGGTCCTTTTATCTAAAGCCCAGTGCACAAACATATAGCTTAATGTGACTAGTGTTCTTCCTTTTATTTCTTTCTCTATGGCAACCAATATGTTCTGCTCAGAAATGTTCCCCCATCAAGGAAACAAATGATCTTGAGGGAGCAGCTCTATACGGCATCTGTTCCAATGGAGAACACAGAGTTAACCCCAGTCAAAAGAAACGCTGAGCCCGTCATCAAGAAGTGGAAACTGAGCGATTCTTCTCCCCCAAAATTGAAACCTATACCTCCCTAGTTTTACAAGTCATTTTACTGATTTGAGTATCGATCGTTTCCAAAGAAGTAACTAATTCTAGGGAATTACAATGATCACGAGTTGTTGTGTATCCAAAAGAGCAAAAAGGTGCAAATAAAATAAAATTAAAATTACAATAAATGAAAGTAATGTAATGGATATTTAAGCCTCGGTAAAGTTTTCAGTAGCAGTAGCAGTATCTGGCCTACTAATTTCACCTTACATTATTTATCACATTATTTATCACACTGACCTAAACGCTATAAAAGAGTTTCAGATCACGAGACTATACCTCTCCATTAGATAGGAATTCAGGGAAAGTGGATCTAGGGACAAGGAAAACCGTCAGAAATGAGAAACAAAGTGAAATCTGGTTTATAATGCTCAAGCCACAATCTCCTTTGAGAATAAAATGAAGGGGTGTCCTGGTTAGTTTTGATTGATTATACTCTTTCTGATGGACTTTCACTACAGAGCTCTAGATGTTGTGCTTAACCGTCTGTTCCCTAGTTACAATATTAACCCTATGTGTGCACCATCGCTCTCCTCCTCCTCCTTCTGCTCTTCATCTTCCTCCCCCAGCACCAGACTGGTTTATTTCACTCCCCAGCTCTCAGCAGGTGTCCACTTCTTTACTTTTTGCCTTGCCCCTCAGCACACTACTGCTGTTCAAAGCTGATTTTCCCCAGTCATCGGAAGAGATTCTCCTGAAGAAACATTTGAAAATAATAAATATTTATAATCCTTCACTCTTTAGAATCTATAATATTTTCTAGGGCTCCCCCCCACCCCCAGTGCTACAATAATTAACAGTGCCCAGAAAAGTGAAGTAGTAACCAGAAGACTTTCCAGTACTACAGAATTGCTTTACAGCCTTGAGCTTTGGAATGAGCTTTTTATGTAATATTTCACTAGGGCGATTTTTTTTTGAAGGGGGGGGTGAGCGAGAGGGGCTGGTGGTTTGTTTTTGTTTTTGTTTTGTTTTTTGTTTTTTTGTTTTTCATTAGGCTTGCTTCCTTCCAAAGAGTTGCCATGGGCTCCCTGTCTTTTCCTAAGCTTTTAAAAATAGATTCACAGGACTTTAAATAAAACAAAAACAGAGAAAAAAAATTAAAAACACTTACCGACCAGACTCCCAGGATTTAGAGGGCTTTTTAAAAATTTTGTATTTTTGTGGGTTTAATAAGGTGACAGGGGAAAAATCATGTTCTGAACTCCAGCGAAACGATCCATGCTAAGATTTTCCTTTGCACTGACTCCACTAAGCCCAGCTCTCCACTTGTCTATTATTTTCACCAAAATATATGAAAATTTATGCAAATGAAAATCAGCACTAACTGTTCTCCCCTTGTTATACTTTGGATTTTTTTTTTCCAGACAAAACAATCACACTCTGCAAGGGAGGGCGTGGGCGAGAGAGTTGGGGAACTAAGTTGTTGTTGGCTGTTGTTTTTTTGTTTTGTTTTTGTTGGTTTTTTTTTAATAAAACACCAAGCTCCAGCACAAGCTTAGTTTTTGTTGTGCGTGTGTACAATATTTTTAGGATTTTTTAAAGAATGTAGATCTGTTTGCAGAGGCGCTATCACGTTTCATCAGGCCACCTGAGACGGCTTTTGAAAGCGTGTACTGTGAAATTCATAGCAGTAATTTAGACAAAATCCTCACTGTATATTAATGAAAGACGGCCCCATGGCACCGTTCCTATCCTCCCCATTCAGTGTAAACAAAACCACGAGACTCACTCGGTTTTTGAGCCTGATCCAAGCAAAATCGGCTGGAAAGGAAAACATGGGGTTCTGGCACTGACTATTCAAACGTCTGCACCTGGAGATCTCAGATTTATTCAATGAAATCTGTGTTAGATCTTTTATACACATAAAAATGAAACCTTTGGAGGACGCATGGGAACAAAAAAAATAGTTATGTTTAGGGTTTAGTTACCATTACTCTTCAGATCTGTATACTTCACATTAATGGTTTTTCTAAACCTACCTAAGATGGTATCTTTTACCGTGCAAGCAAGGACCTGGAAAGGGTCCTAAATAAATTCTGCTAGTCTACAGTTAATCTTCAAATCACGCAAATGCTGCATACTTGCTGTTGGGGATGTAGTCTGTGCTGGAAGCTGAATTCAACTAGCTGAATTTTGTGGGGAAATTATTAACTGAAAGAGGGGGGCGTTATGTTTCACATTTTAATGTAAACATAATGCATTTTTCTATCCGTAGGCGCGCGCACACACACTATATGTGTATATGCATTATACATGACGGATAGGTAGCCTGGATGGATTACACAACACAAACACAATCATTAGTAAAGATGTGTTCCTTGAATGTCCGAATTGTGTTATTTCATTGGAAATCCCCGAGGAGTGTTCAATTTGCCCTTGTTTTGGTTGCCACTTTCTCTTTTTTCTTGGTTCACTGAGGTTGCCTGTGTGCAGCGTTTCCGCTTGGTCGCATCTCTCTCTCTCTCTCTCTCTCTCTCTCTCTCTCTCCCTTCCCCTTCCCCCGCCCCCCTTAACTCTTTCAGCTGGATTAGAAATAATAAAATGCTTCATACGACCAGATCGGTTTCCTGTGAAATACCAGCGTTCGCAGAATAATAAAAATTAGTGGAGGAAAACCCATATATATATACTGATATACACATATCAGAAGGAAATGGGGACAGAGGATTGTTTGGTGGATCTGGAGCAGGATTCAATTTGGATTTTTTTTTTTATGATAAGGATTCAGCTTTAACATGTTTTATAATAATGCACATGGTCAGAAGCTTGAGCTGTTCTGTGTGGTAAAGACATTTTATTGTGCATCCTCTCAAATATTGTTGATATTAAACAGTTCGGTGCAGCTATCCATATAAGTGTCCAAAGACATATGAGCTGCATTCTAGTTCCCATACATAGAGGGGAACTCAGAAACTAAAACAAAGAAGCGTGTGGCTGATTGCATGTAATTAAGGGAACAACTTGCCATGATAGCTTCAGTCTAAGATCTGGTAAGGGATCTTGACGGTGGAGACTGGCCAAAAACCTTAGTAAATCTTTAAAAGATATTAGCTCCCCCACTTTGCCTTTCTGACATATGCAGAGAGAGAGAAATAGAATACAAAACTTTGAAACAGAACAGGACGCTTCCTTCTGTAGGTGATGACTGTTTGATTTATGTAGACTGTAGCCTATATACAATGGCTGCTTACAGATGATGGGAAATATTCGCCCATGAGGAGACTCATGTGCATACAAGTAAAATAAATGCATTATTAGATAGTGTCTCTTCCCCTCATCTTTCTTTTCATTCCTTTCTCCCCCACCCCCCTACCCCATGCCCAGGGGGGTTTTATTCTCCCTCTCTCTCCCTCCCCCACATGCCCAAATTGCTCTGTGCTGGGAGAACTCAGATTTATCCGCTGGGCGTTAAGAGTTAAGATGTTGAGGGGAGAAGAAGAGGAGGGGCCGGGAAGGGAGCTGGAGGGGAGGGGGGGCAGATTTCCAGCTTCTACGCCACTTTGCCTAAATTAAAAAGCAACCAATCGGAACGGCCGGAAGGGGGGGCCTCGCGTCCGGAGCCAGTCATTCTGGCTCTGTCAATCACGCAGCGGGTCTCCAATCAGCGGGGGCCCTTGCGCTCGACTTCCTTGTGCTTGGGAAAGTGTGGTGGTGGTGGTGCGCGCGCTCGGCGGAGGGTAAACATTCGGCAGTCCCCGCGCTGTGAGGGAGGGACTGGGAGAGAGAGAGAGAGAGAGAGCGAGCGAGCGAGCGAGAGCTGTCAGGGAGAGCGAGCCGGTGGGGACGAGCCGCGCTGCTCTCCTCCCAGCACCACCCGGGCACGCTCTGCAAGCCTGGCAGCAGCCAACTTCCCCCACTGGAGTTAGTGTACCAAGGAGCCCCTAGATGCACACACACATACGCACACCTCTCTACCCAGGCTCTTCTCCTCCCGCAGCCCGCTGCTGGAATTAACCACCAACCTTGCAAGGGAAGGAGAACCGTCTCTCCACCTCCCCCCTTTTTCTTTTCTTTTCTTGTCTTTTTTTTTTTTTAAACTGCCTAAAAAGGGGGCAGGGGGGAGGGAAGATGTCTCACCCAGCCTGTGCCTCCAGCGAGAAGGCTCCAAAGGGACTTGCGTTTCAAAGGGGACAGAGCGCTCCTGCGAGAGCCCAACTTTGAGACATGCAGCAGCAGCATCCCCAGCACCGCCGCCGCCAGCCTCAGCCCAGGAAGTTTTCCTAGGACACCGACCAAACTTGGCAAGAGAGGAGGAGGAGGAGGAGGAGGAGGAGAGGCGAGAGGCAGGAGCCGAGCGGGGAGAGAGCGAAAAGAGGGAGCCCGAGAGAGAAAACCCACCCGCGCGCACAAAGCCTTCGAGGAGGAAGGGAAAGAAAAAGTTTCGCTCCGGCAGGGGAAGGCTGCGCGGGCGAGATGTGCTCCTGAGGGAGTGACGGGGAGAAGGAGAAGGGGGCTCGCCGTTGTGTGTCCCCCCCCCCTCCCCTGTTTTTGAGCTTTGATTTTTTTATTATTATTATTCTTATTATTTTGTCTTCCTGCAAAAAGAAGCCGCCGAGGCGTTAACAGGTGAACGGAGCTCACGGGAGATCGGGGCCAAACGCCAACGAGGCTGGTGAGGAGGCGAGCCCCGGGTTCCTGCGGAGCAGCGCGAGTTCCCGGGAGAGGGTGTTGACAAAGGGAGCCGAAGAGCCCCCAGTTGTGCGGATTGGTGGCACGCCAGCAGGCAGGGGGGGTGGGGGAGCGGAATGGCCACCGCGGCTTCTAACCCTTACCTACCCAGCAACAGCATCCTGTCCGCCGGCTCCATCGTGCACTCGGACTCGGGAGGCGGGGGCATGCAGCCGGGCAGCGTCGCCGTCACCTCGGTCTCCGGCGGCTACCGGGGCGACCCCTCCGTCAAAATGGTCCAAAGTGACTTCATGCAGGGAGCAATGGCTGCTAGCAACGGCGGCCATATGCTGAGCCATGCCCACCAGTGGGTGACAGCCCTGCCTCATGCGGCCGCCGCTGCCGCCGCCGCCGCCGCCGCCGCCGTGGAAGCCGGCTCGCCCTGGTCCACCAGCCCGGTGGGGATGAGCGGCAGCCCCCAGCAGCAGCAGCAGCAGCCCGATGTGAAAGGCAACTCCGGCCGAGACGACCTGCACGGCGGCACGGCGCTGCACCACAGGCCACCCCACCTGGGTCCCCCACACCAGGGCCACCCGGGCGCTTGGGGGGCCACCACCGCCGCCCACCTCCCGTCCATGGCCGGGGGACAGCAGCAGCAATCGCTCATCTATTCCCAGCCGGGGGGGTTCACGGTGAACGGGATGCTGAGCCCTCCCCCTGGCAGCCAGAGCTTAGTGCACCCGGGACTGGTGAGGGGAGACACGCCGGAGCTGGGGGATCACCCCAGCCACCACCATCACCACCACCACCAGCATCAGCACCACCAGCAGCACCACGGCGGGGTCAACAGCCACGACCCCCACTCGGATGAGGACACGCCAACCTCGGATGACCTGGAGCAGTTCGCCAAGCAGTTCAAGCAGCGGCGGATAAAGCTGGGCTTCACGCAGGCAGATGTGGGCTTGGCCCTGGGCACCCTGTACGGGAACGTCTTCTCCCAGACCACCATCTGCAGGTTTGAGGCTCTGCAGCTCAGCTTCAAGAACATGTGCAAGCTTAAGCCTTTGTTGAACAAGTGGCTGGAGGAAGCCGACTCCTCCACGGGCAGCCCCACTAGCATCGACAAGATCGCAGCCCAGGGCAGGAAGAGGAAGAAGCGGACCTCCATCGAGGTGAGTGTCAAGGGGGCCTTGGAGAGTCACTTTCTGAAATGCCCCAAGCCCTCCGCCCAGGAGATTACGAACCTAGCGGACAGTCTGCAGCTGGAAAAGGAGGTGGTCAGGGTTTGGTTTTGCAATCGGAGGCAGAAAGAGAAAAGGATGACCCCCCCGGGGATCCAGCAGCAGACCCCCGACGATGTCTACTCCCAGGTCGGCAACGTGAACTCCGACACGCCGCCCCCACACCATGGACTGCAAACAAGTGTGCAGTGAGAGTCACAACAGTAAGGGAAAGGAAGAGAGGCGAGAAAGGGAAAGGGGGAGGGGGGACCGACAACAACACCACACACACAAAAATCCAGATTTGTTTCGACTATCTATCTATATATAGAGTATATATATCTATGTATACATAGATATAGATATCTATATGAAACGTTTGAAAAGGTCGATCCGAGCGCTAACATTTATACTGTGGTTGGGAGGGGGTGGAGATGCATAATGCACCAAAACTGCAGATGTTTTTTTCTTTCTTTTCTTCTTCTTTTATTTTTTTTTGTAAACATTTCTAAATTATCCCCTATTTCAGCGATGAACAGCACCCACCCCTTCTCTCCCTTTACGCCCCCACCACCCAAAAATGCCCCCCCCAAAAAAGGGCTCTCTTATATGAATCATGGAAACTTTTTTCTCTCACACACACTTTTCTTTTTTTATGGGAGCAATCCAAAACAAGGAAGCAAAAGCAAAATCATCTGCCTGGTCGGAGGGTGCCTGCTGCATTCCGGGACCCTGTTTTTCTTGGCCAAACCACATCATTTTGGTGCAAGATATCCATTGGGGGGAGGGGGGATCCTGCAAAACGAAAAGGGTCACTTTCTCCGGGGAGGGGGGAGGGAAATATGCACACTGCACTAAACACAAGCAGACTGTATAAGGAAGCAAATATATATAAACAAAAATATGGGAATAAATACCCGCATACCGAAAGCTGGGGGGGGGGGGGAGGGAGGGAGAGGGACAAACAGCGTGAGAAAAAAAAGAGGAGAGATTGTTGGTCCCTAAAGTTCGAGCTCTATAAAAGGACTTTTCATGAATTAAGGGAAACAGCCAGAGAAAGGGAAATAATTTAGGGCTGTCAAAGTCGTGCTCCTGACGGCTGCCAATCACCGTGGAAGATTCCTTTAAAAATCCACTGCTAATATTTTTTTTATTAATATTTTTATTTTTATTTCGGGACTGATTCAGAGAAAGGGATTTAGAAGTACTGAGCATCTGCAGCTGCACTTATCTGAACTTCTCCTCTCCTAAATCCGTTGCCAACTTTGATTGAATGGGTGCTGTGGATGTGATTATATAATACTGCCATTTCCAAGCAGTGTTTTTGGTAGGTTTTAATAAACAGACTTTTCAAAAAGACGGCAATATAGAATTGTTAGATCCGTTGTTGATCTAAAAATATTTGCTTTATATTTTCATTAAATGACTTCTTTTAATATTTTATTCAGAATACCTATGAACTGCTGCAAAACGGTAATTTATTTTTCCCCAGATCTTGTATTACGTGTTTTTTTCAGACGAGCACAAATCAAAATGAAATGAAAATATGGACAGTTGTTAGGTAATAAGGGTATCTTTTGATGTGATAATTTGATTGTAATTTAATTTGAGTAGTGATTCCGTAAGAGCTGATTGAGAAAATAAATTTGTTAGAATGAAATAGTCTGTGTCTATTGCATAAACACTGTGTCGAAAAAGTTCTCTTAAGGAAATATTGCAAATATTTAAGTGATAGAACGAAGGATAACCTGCTTTCTGTATCTGGTATCTACTTCAGGTATCTGGAAATGCAGAGTTCCAGTATTCATGCTGTTAGCATTTTAGTACAGTACTCATTTCTTATAAATCCGTATACAGAGTAAATTTCCATAGAGTTTTTCATAAATAGTCCTGTGTAAGGGCATAGTAAGGCAAGGTTAGAGAATAAAAGGCCACGTTCTTTAAAATAATTGTTTTATTTTAAGATTAAACTTCAGTGCAGTAGATGTGTAAGTGTATGGACTGATAATTAATGGCAAATACTGAAAGCAGTTATGTTTTTTAAAGTTTAGTCTCTTTTCTCTCTTTTCAAACTAAGAAACGAAGGCTAGAGGCTTTTTAAGTATAAATTATTTGACACATTTTATGTCTGTATAATATTTGTATTTAATTTATCGTTATAATTTAAAGAAAGGTACTTTTTTCCAAAAAAAATATAGAGATGATACTTTCAAAATCCTACCTACGGTCCTCATAGTTTACCATTTTGTTGTTGTTGTTTGTTTGTTTTAGGCTTTTTTGTACGAGGTGTGCAGTGGTGTAGTACAGTTTTTCCTTCACTCGACTTTAGTGTTGCCATTCCTTCTTTACAACAAATGTGTGTATAAGTAACGTTAAAGATGCCAATAGATGCACTAGGTAGGCTGTCATATTTATCTGCTCTATTTATTGCAATATACACACAAGTGAATGAATATTTCAGCTCTTCATTTTGAATTGGTAATGTTGTCGAAACTACAGATCTAAATTTAATGCCTCTATGTACCCCCTGAAAACGTATTATAGAGAAATATTTTATTTTTTTATTAATGTAAGCTTTCAATAATCTCTGGTTTCCCCCGTTCCCCCATTTTCTTCCTCCCTCCCTTCTTTCTCGCTATGTGATATTGATGCTGGGGTTAAAACCCCAGAAAACTGCTGTAGAAACAACACACATTTATTCCTTTTTGACAGGCCTTGTGTCACTTTCATAAATCAAATCCAACCATATAGCCGTGTACTGGGATGCATTATTTTAACACCAGATCTTAGTAAATATCAGGCTCGTTTTGATTTGTGAAATCCGAAAAGGCCATATTAGAAAAAGGAAAAGTGAAAGGGGATACAAGACAATTTCATTTATTCTCTTTGTTTAATTTAAGAGCTTCCCAGTAATTTTATAACTGGGGAGGGAGGAGGAGGAGGAGGGGGCGAGAGGGAGGGAAGGAAGGAAAGGAGGAATCATGAATTTTGCTACATGCAAGGGAAATCTCAGAAAGGACTTCCAGTTTGGAAGCAGTGGGTTTGTTTTTATGTGGTGGATACTATTAACACGTGAGGTGGAACCCTATTTTTCACACATGAAGGGTGGTGGCTTATTAGACATGGAGAAGGTCTATTTAAATTTCTTAGTGGTATTTGGTTACTGGATTTGGATGACAACAAAGAGCTACATTAGGCTTCACACTGGTTTCTATTAAAAGACAACCTTTGCGGATTTCTGCATAAGAAGGGCTGATTTTTACACTAGAGGAATAACATTTGGTAGTAGGAACGTGCAAAATCTGTTCATTCTGTGCTCAAAAATTGAGGCCATGTTTTCCTCCCACCCTCCCCAATAAGAAATCGAATCATTTGAATGTATTTAGGAACTTCAGGGTTGTGAGTCTAAGGGATAATAAGAGGTAGATAATAAGTAAGAGGTTTTGTGTTAAGGGTTGTACTGTTACACATGTAAATAATGAAAATATTGTTATATATCGCCAGATCTCTTAATGAATTTAGTAATTGTATTCATTTATAATATCAGTGTTCTGTGTTTGGTAACTGAGTCTTCATCATTTTTCCTTATTATTTTTCTACGTAAAGGAAAGCCAAATGTTTTACAAAGTTGTGTTTGATCAGTCTGGGTAATCCCGAGATGTGATTATTTTTAGTTTACATTTTCATATTCTGCAGTCTTCTACTACGCCCTAGTTTTCTCCTTGACATCCCATCTTTTCCCCGGCTAGTCTGTATACTATGAATCATTTTCAGGTGTATTTAAAATAGTCACCTCACTGCTGTTGATCCACATATTTTCGGAACATAACAAAGAGCTATCCCTTGGTTTAAAAATACAACGGTTCATTTCTGAAATTATCTTTAAAGATTCCTTATGCTTTAATGTAGTGACTGGTGTTTGCACATTACAATGCTCATAATTTGTTTTGTATGAATGGTTTTAAATGGAACGTTTAGAGAATAATTGGTTCTAATATGAAATGCAGTATATACTATTGATAATTTTATCAATAAGTGTAATATTTTAAATAATTTTAACAATTAAATTTGTTTTTTTAAAATTATATATTTGTAAAATATTTATCCTGTTGAAAACAACAATATATTGTTGTATTTATTCGTTTATTTTTGTAATAAATTATCAACATCTTCAAGCTAAAGAAAAAATGACACTTCTATATATTTATATAGATATACCTTTTAAGATACAGATATATTTGTTCCAATTTGAATGTAAATAGAAGAAAATACATCTATAACTGGCAGCTTTCAGGACAAAATTGTAGAGATGATCTTCTTGCCACACGTAGTTTGGTTTGCCTAAGTTCCAGGGTAATTAATCAAACTCTAAAAGAGATGCAACAAGTATAGGCCCTTGATGCAGGCTTGGAATTATGTAGGATATAGACTGATTTTTATAAACCCAGGAAAATAGATACCCCAAGGAAATTGGTCTTCTTTAGTATGATGGATGAATAAAATGAACCGACAGGATACAGAGGTAACACATATAGATATTTGCAGTTGTAGTCTGAAATATTTGAATGAGTAAGGTCTTCAGTAGAAGGGGGGAACCTTGATATCAATGACACAGCAGTAGGAAGCTTTTCAGCTGACAGTCTTTTTGCTAACTAAAAAGCTATCATACAGTGAAGAATTACAGAAACCCACCCCTCCCCCCATCTTCTTTAATGCCAAAGTAACACTAAGGGACTATATTTGGAGTGGCAGGGTGGGTCCTGCTGGGGGGAGAAAGAAAAGGCCAAACAAGACTCTTACTCCTTACTCAGGGGGCAAAACTCTCATTGAAGTCAATGAGAACTTTGCCTAAGTGAAGCCTGCAGCCTTTGGCCCAAAGACAGGGTGCAGACAGTGGCATTGAGTGTAGCCTTGGCGGAAACTTGGCCATTTCAGCCCCTTAGAGCTGTTGTTAACCTGCGGCTGAAGGTCACTCACGTGACGTCATGCCCACTAGTTCTGCACCAGGGGCTTGACCTTGACTTTAATAAGGAAATAAGGGTGCTGCATTCTTTAATCTTTAACCTAGCCTGTCACGTTGGGAAAGGAAAATTCATAGGAGGGATATGCTGTTTAATCGGAAACTTTGATTCTCTTAGATCAGAGTAGGTCATATTCATTAGATTATTATATTTATTAGCACATATGGTATCTTCTAAACTCTCCAAGTCATTATTTCCAGCATTTCAGCTGTATAATATTGGGGTTTTCTTGTGGGGCTGCTGCAATTAGAGCTCTAGATCCGGTTTATCAGCAGAACTAAAGATCTTCTGTACTTTCCCTAGATGATTTTGCTGCCAGAGTATATGAAATTTTCTGAGTGAGAGATAAAGGAGGATAGTGGGGGGCAGGGGAAAGTGGAGAGAGTAACCTTACACAATCTCTCACCAGTTTGACTAATGTGTGACTAGTTTCAGGTGGATCATGCAAAGGATGGAACAGGCCTTCACATGCAGTAAATGGAGAGGTGGAAGCTGGGCAGTGGAGGTAGGGGTGAGGAGGGGGATGCAGCCCCTGTGTATATGGGTGCGCCAGCTGTATACTGTGTAAGAGTTGTGTTTTAGAACAGGCTGAGCTGCCTCAGGTAGTGGACAACGAGGTCTGCAGGGAGGTCCTGCTCTGATCCCTGCTGCCGGCCAGTGCTGCTCTTCAGTGGCAGCTGCTGCAGATCCCACAGGTTGTTTTCCTCGTGGCGACCATTCAGCAAAACACACGATCCTTTCTCAAAGATTTAAATTTCGCGGATGAATTACCATACACCAGTTGCTTAGCAACTAAATTCAAGCCGGGCGAAGAATATGCAAGCTTTTTGTATTCTCATTAATAAAAATGCCACTCTGACACAGCAACCTGACTTTGGATCACTGCAACTTCTGTAAAAGCCATAGGAGAATACAACCCGGCTCCTCCATTTAATTACCGATCAGAGTGGCTTGAAATGTGATGTTTTGTTAATCTATCTTCCTAAAAGCGATGTAAAAAATAACGGCTTTTGAAGAGCAGTGGAAAACTACTTTTTTTAATGGCGCTGTCTCTTGGTGTTACTGATAGCTATAAACTGAAACCTTTTTGAGGCACATATTCAAGTATCTTTTCCCTCCATTTTTAGTTCCCTGAAATCAGAAAACATTAAGACATTTGCAACCACAGAAATTAAAGTGAAATTGAGGCAGAATGATGGAGAAGCAAACATCTCTCCAGAGATGGGAAAACTTCAGTAGGTAGCGGCAGTTAAACTAAACTAAAATAAATAAATATATGAAACTCTTGGGTTTTCTTTGTCTTTTGAAGTTGTTCTGTTTAGTATAAGTGAGCATGTTCTTACTAAAGGGAAAAAACGGTGGTTATAAGTCTTAATGACACTTTGCTGAATGTTTGCCTCAAAAACTCCATTTCCACTCCTGTTAAAATTTACTTTTTTGTTGTTGTTACAACTATGACTGGATACAAGATGTGTGTGTGTGTTTCTTTAGCATTACCAAAAAGTTTCCTGCCAGCACTCAGTCTTACCGGCAAGGCAGAACTATACTACAGCATCTGAAGTTAGAGTGGCCCCTCTCTCAAGGGCAGGGCGGTACAGGTAGTTAGCATACAAAGACATTGGTAATAGTTTGGACTTTCTCTTTTTTTGTTTGCTATTTTGTATACTGCATTTAGGCTCTTTGCGGAGAAGGATGGATGTTCCGGGAGGAGGGTTTGTGGTTTGTTTTGTTTTTGCTTTGTTTTGTTTTATTCAGAAAATTGTTAAAAAAAAACTTTTTGCAATGAAAGTGCTACAATTAAAAATTAAGAGTAAAACAAGCAACTTAAAAAATGCTTAGTGCTAGGACAGTATTTTTCAGAGGGGATGTGTATAAAGGAAAAAATTCTGTCCGAATTCCCCAATCCCTCTTCACTGAAGAACCAGATTTTTGGTTTTTAATTATCATTATTATAGCGGGTGCTTGTAAGGGGAGGTCCCTTTAGTCAAAAAACACTTTCACTATGTATTTGAGTGAAGAGATCTCTGTCCTTCACTAAGGTTTAGTTTCCACTCACCTTAAAACAAACAAGCAAGCAAACAAAAAAACATACAACAAATTTCTAGGTAGGAAAAGCAGTGAGATGAGAATCTGATTTATATGTGAAGACTGTAGTCCTAATGAAACCCACAACCACCCAAGATCTTTGTCCACTGCTTTGCTTCTTTCTTCAGCCATAATAGGATGAACATCCGTTTAAATAATCAAATTTTCTTCCAGTTTACACCTACTGCTAATAAAAAAATAATTGTGATGAAAAGCCAGCATTTAAAAGCAGTCCTTGCACAGCAATTGAAATTTGTGCCAGAATATATTTTCTAACAGTGTATTGAAAACTGTAATTCCAAAACAGGTTTATTGGATAGGGGGGTGTGGGAGTGTTTTGTTTTTTGTTTTTACCAAAAGGAAAAGTTTAGCGACTTTTCCGAATAGGTCTATAATATGTTTCAATGAGAGGAAAATATAACACCACATCAATTCTTATATTTAAATACAAAATCAATAGCTTTTACAAGACAATCTCACTGACAAGACAATAGACCAGAGTAGACATGTTTATTTTATAGGTAGGTGGTTTAAATCCATTTCATTCTAGTATTGAATAGCAACATAAAATATTAGGCATGGAAATAATTTTCATAACAGTATTGTTAAATGCATTCAAATTCTTTAGTAGCATATTCTGTCCATTTCAGGTGTCCACATACAGTATTCTGAGGTTTATTGAAATGCACAAACTATATAGAAAGAGTTTTATTTACAGATATCATGGTTTGGGATCACACTACCACACCATGTTTGCAAAAGTCCAGTCATCGTTCATGTGCAGAATTAATTCTCCCTTCTCTTTTAAAAGAATACTTTAAAAATAGCTGGATTATAAAGGAAAACAAATGGAGATTGTTACTCTGATTTGACCATTTCTTAAGAACAACGTCAGGCTATCAAGATATGTGTTTGAGACGACATAGACCAATACTGTTTCTTTATAAGGTGCATGTTTAGTGTTAGAAAGCTAAACGATTGTTGATTGTGACTTGTGTCTGGGGCCTTCCTTTCAAATTGAAATGAATTGATTTAAAAAAGCGGGAACTGGGATATGGGGAACCGCATGGCTGCTATATTTATGTGCACGAAACCGAAATTTAAACAACTTGAGGCAGTTTTGGATGTATAAACGTTTTATATATAGTAACCTTTTTGTTATTAGTTTTGGACATGCTTGGTGGTGCTTTCCTGCCAGCGCTCCATAGAACTCACTATACAGCATTCAGTGTGCAGCACCACAGTAGAGAGTAAACTGTTTGCTCAACAATTCCAAGCTTCATTTCCAACTAGAGTACTAATGTATACTTTAACTTAGTCGCATCAATCCGGGTAGCTTTCTGTAGACCACTTATTTAGAGAGCTGAGGTACAAACCTGAAGTGCGTGTTTTTTGTGTGTGAATTATATAGATAAAAGCCAAGAGCAAGGGGACAGGAGACATATTAAATTCTATTTTGTGGGGCTTTTTTCAAGTTCCAGACAAGAAGAATGTTTATAAAGTACAAAAGAAATGAGAACTGCTGAGCATTTATCATTACTACATCCCTAAACCGTCAGAGAATGGTTCCAGAAAAGCAGAGCTGAAACTACTCTTTCTAAAAAGGGGGAGGGTGGGGAAGGGGAAAAAAGGGTTTGGTAAAGAATTGTGCTGGAATAACATACATTTGTTTCGTCCTCTAGAACTCTCATTCAAAAGAGAGGCCCATCTAACCGATTGGGATATTGCTCAAAGAAATCTAATAGATATTCGTTTCAGAGTCCACACTAAAAGCCATAGATGAATTGTAAGGTGTCAGACTCTTCATTTGCTTCTCTCTGTCTTGCACACACACACACGCACCCACACAAACATGCACACGTTCACCGCAGTTTATTTACAAAAGATTAAAATATGCACACAGAAATCCTGCCGGCCTATGATATATATCAATCACATATGTGTAAAAAAAATGTCTTAACTCCATATGCTAAAAGCTCCTATCAGTGACATTAAATTAAGCATGTAGCTTTATGAAATGTTGAAGATTAAATACTATCGATACCTCTAAAGAAGAAAATAAACATTCAGTTTCCTGATGTGCTCACCAATTTACATCATAGTGATTAAAACAGGTTAGTTAGTTAGTTTAAAAACCAAAACATAGATTTTTTTTTAGCCAGGACTGTCTCCTTTTGGCTATAATAGAGTGTACTTGAAAATAGTGCCTTTTTTCCTTTTTTATTTGAAACTAAAAGTAGGGGATTAGAGTGTATCTAATCATTATTAATAGCTGAAATGAACTTTTTAATACTGCTAGTGATACCTATGTTTCTTTGAGTGTTAGGCGAAAGGAGTTATGCCATTCTAAGTAGAACACAGGGCACATATTTACCTGAAGAACAAGCTGGTTGACTTTATTCTTTTTAATTGCCAAATAAATCTAAGTAACTCAATATGCCAACCTCTGTAGAGCAGAATTCCCTTATTAACACAAGAATAAACAAAAAAGAGGGACCATTACCTTGCCATTAGATGCCCGCTTTGTTCCTGAGCCTTGAACGGCACCTTGGAGCCCATATTGGAAAAGAATGCCCTAGGGGAATGAACAATCCACTCCAAACTGTTGTCACAAGTCCCCTAAAAACCGCACTGTAACTATGCGCTGAGTGATTTTGACATCTACTAGATTTTTGCGCGCGTATTTTTATCCCTTCTCTCATAACTACTGAACGTTTTAGACGAGAGTTTTCCCCCTTTCGCGTTCAATAGCTGAGCCTGCCCCTAAGCTCTTCCCCTCAGCCTGAGCCATCCTGGGGCTCCTATTGCACAGCTCCAAGGAAAGGAACCTTGTGCACGGGGCATGCGTTTGAGTCCCTAGAAGGCTCGTGGGTCGGCGGCTACCACACTGACGTGCAGCGACGCCGGTGGCTTGTGGAGGGGGCATGGCGTTATGGCTTGAATAGAAGCGACTGCCCGTGGACAGCGGGAGTTTAAAGACCCTGCGAATGAAACACTGTGCACTTGCAGCTGGACCGTAATCAGGGGGAGCAGAAAGCTTTCTCTGGAGGTGTTGATAAGGACTGGCTTATCTGGGGCATCAGCCTGGATTTCAATCACGTGCCTGGAGGGGGTCTCTTCCTGCTCGCCTTTGCTGACAGCTGCTTTTCCAGCTAACCTGCCCCAGCCATGGACTTGCTCACCCCTGTTCAGGCAGGGAGCCAAGGGCCCCACTTCCTGAGTCTCTGTCAACCTTGCCCAGGAGCAGGATTTGGCGACTCTGTCTTCCGGGCAGCCACGTGAAGGCTGGGCCACAGGCCGCGGCCTCTGAAAAGGGCAGAGTGAGACGGTGGGGGGGGGAGGAGGCTCTCGTCTTGCAGGGCTGTCTTGGGAGAGCCGGTGTCACGGCGGAGGGCGCAGCGGTGGGCAGGGCACCTGGAACGGGGTCTGGTGGCTGTTTCAACCGGGATGATTGGGGTGTTCGCTCTTGCTCACGAGCCAACTCTTCTTGGGACCTCTCTTCCCGCCACCCTCCTTTCTGCAAGGTCCCGAAAAAGACAGCGAGAGAGGGCAGGGGGGCGCAGGGGGCATAGCAGCGACTGAGCACTCCCTCCCCAAAGCCCCAGGCCGGGCGCATCGCCGCGCACACATCCTCCCCCCCCCCACCCCAGCCCGGATGCTGCGGAGTTGCGGGGGGTGGGGGTGCAGGAGGGAGGTTAAAACTTGCCTCAGTGCCACCAGCGTTAACCATGCGGTACCTAGTACCCGCAGATAAGTCACTCGCGATTATCCGCCCACCCCCAGCCAGAGCATCCTACGTGGAGTTCATGTTTCTGCCAAAGTCTCCCTCGCAGGGTTCCCTACCGCCTCCCTCTCTCCCTGCTTCCTCCCATTATCCAGCTGGGTAGGCAAGGGCGTCTCGCTGCCAGCGCTCAAGTTTTCAAGTCGCGCATTTGACCCGTTCTGCTCAAAGGGAGAGTTACTCTGTAAAACAAAGCAAAACCACAGCACAACATCTGCAGTTGGCTCGGCTGGACACCAAGCCCGCTGTCCCACAGCTCTTACTCCAGGGCCAGCTTTTGTTTACGTTTGTTCTCAGCTTTGCTGAAGTTCAAGACAGAAGAATCCCCGCCTTTCTGGTCCCCCCGACCCTGGCCTGGCTCTCCAGGCCAGGGTTAAGGAGCACTGGCGGCATAGCCCGAGGTACAGAAAGGTCTGAGGAAACAGAGGCATCAATACCAGATGCATCCAGAATCCAGACTGAGAACTAGGCTGGTGCGGGGTGGGATTGGAGGGAGGTGCTCTGAGCCTATATAGTCCCCGCTTCAAAGGTTTCCTCCTCAGACCTTAGCAAATGATACCGAGGTTGAAGAGGAAAACCACTCACAAATACTGGGGATTTCAAAGCACTGGAAATGGCAAGATAGGGGATCCGCCTCCCTTTCTCTTTCCTCTGCATATTTACAATAGAAGCCTTTCTTTTTTGGTAGCAGATTTGATGGTATTTATTTCTAGCAGGGACTGCATATGTTACAGCGAGCTACAGCTCTGACACAAATGAGTTGTGACTGCTTTCCAGAGAGCTCCAGGCTACAACCCACTGCCAGATACCTTCTTCAAGTTCAAGTTACACTCGGGACACTGCAGCCTGCTGGGCGCGATCTCGCTCCTGATGAAAACAATGGCAAAGCACCAATTGACTTCAACGGGGGAAAGAATCGGGCTAAATCCGGCCCGCTTCTCCCCGACCCCCCGACCCCTATTCCGGGAGCAGCCTCCCCCTGTTCAAGTGCTTTCCAGCCCATCCGTTTACCCCGGAGTCGATGGGGCTACCTTTGTGCCCACAGTGAACTCGATTTGGCTCGTTGTGTGCAGTGGTCATCACATGAGTTGTGGCTTTGCAGTTGTATACAAATCTTCGCCAGTGACAAAATGTGCATTGTCCAGATGATAATGTCCCTCCGCCGATTAAACGGTATTTCCCCCCACCTAGTGTCCCTAGATCTCGCGCCTAGGAATGACAAATAGTTGGTTAAAGCCACTCACACTTTCTGTTTTGATACCAGCAGACCCACGCTTTTGATTTGCCTCCTGGTATCCCGGCATGAACGCCCATTGGACCAAAGGATTCCACGCGAGACGGGCAACATACGTGTTTCTGGTGTCCTTTGGGTCCCAGTGCAATACTATTTCTTCTGTCCCCCCATCATATTAAATTGAAACTATCTGGCCTGATTTCAGAGGAACAGCCGTGTTAGTCTGTATTCGCAAAAAGAAAAGGAGTACTTGTGGCACCTTAGAGACTAACGAATTTATTTGAGCATGAGCTTTCGTGAGCTACAGCTCACTTCATCAGATTTTATTTCATGCTCAAATAAATTCGTTAGTCTCTAAGGTGCCACAAGTACTCCTTTTCTATCTGGCCTGAAGTTTCGTTGAATTGTCTCCGGATGTGGTAAATACACAATTAAGCGCTTCTCTTTAGCTGCCTTTCCAGATACAAGTTTATTTTTACAGGTGCCCTTCAGAATAAATCTTGGTTGCCCTGCTTGGCATCTGAAAAACATCTCTAACCAAAATGCGCGTGCAGAGAGGCAACGTGGTGACAAAAGGGGAGAGGGGATCTTTGAGACGCAAAAAGTGTTTCCCCAATAAGGATAAATGGGTTTCTTCCCTGCTGTGTTACAGTGTAAGGAGGAAATATGTAAGAGAGAAGAAGACTTTGGTCTTATAACACGTAAAACATGAACACATTAACAATTGCAGTCCTTTACAAATCTGAACACCCACTGTCTTTTTCTAAATACTTAGTGTAACTGATCATCGGGGAAATATGCACATCTGCAATCTGTGTATATGCACGCAGAGAAAGATGATATGGAATGATGACTAAAGTATTATTGGACTTAAGAGTTTCATATGACTATATACACACCACAATTGGGTAGCCAAGCGGGGCAATATATGAGTCAAGTAATCACAAACAAAACAAAGACACAAGCTCCACCCTTCCTCACTTTGTATTAAATTTCGATAACCTTAGTTTTCAAAAATGTTTTGGTATTTTGTCAATTTGTTCCAGAAGTTGGGGGCTTTTTTTGTGGGGGGTTCCAGCGAGTGGCTGTGTGCTTCAGTCTCAGGGGGGCACCACCCTCTCCAAAGAAGGGACTCAGCGCTAGATTTTGGAGGCTTTTTTTCCCCTTCAAAGTATTAAAAGAACATGGTATGCTCACACCTTGAGTGTGATTCTCACAGCTTTGTGGAAGAGTAATAGATATTATTCTGTATGAGGGCTGGCTCATCATTTAAAGGATATAAATACTGTATGTGCACACACACGCTCTATAAAGTGTGTGAGAGAACAATTTTTATCTCGAAGTTCACATGCAAAAGTGAATTTGATGGTAACTGATACAATTCAGCTGTAAATAGATCACTATCGCCCTGTAGATATTTTATTGCGATGCTTGCATTTTACTGTTATAGATGCATATTTCATTTAACTTTAATATTATGAAGCTAAAACCTGTTTTGAAATAATTCATCATCCCATTTCTGTGTATTTGGCCGTGGGAGAATTTCCCAGAGTGTGTCAATCTACCTAAACTTTCCCGCTGCTTGTCAAATCTCTGGACTTTCGCCCCCGCAATATGTATTTTTACATTTCAGCCTGGCCATTTTTACTGCGGTCTGGTAAACGCCTAAACAACAATCAAGGAGCCCTGATGTGTCTCTGCTGCAGAAGATCTATATACAGCGGACCTGGAGGTGCATTGCCCCTACCGCATTCAATGGCCTAAGAAGCCCGTTGGGGACTGCTAAAATATGAAGCACAGAGGTGACCTCGACCCCACTGATCTTTCGGCTTCTTTTCTGAACGCCCATTTTGCCCATTGCTTGTTTCAGAGTGACTATCGCAGGCCCCTGGGAGCTGCCCCTCGCTCGCTGGCATGCAAAGCCCTCTCCAGAGTCCAGCAGCAACCCAGCGACTGTTCTGATATGCACACATACCCTCCTACCACTGGGTATGGACTGCAGCCTTGGCACTTGGGAGGGGAGTCAACGCTAGTCAGATCAGACTGCAAAGAACACTTGAGCCTAAGTTCCCACTGATGCCTCTTTGTCTTTCAAAAACAACGAACCAACAGTCAGCTGTCCTGTTCCTAGCACAAAATACATCGCAAGCCCAACTCATCAGGGCTCCTGGGCAGACTGATTGCAAAACTCGTTTATTTAAATCCTGGAGTTAGCACATTAGGAATGAGAAACAGAAGTTGTAACTAAACTTGCCATTGACACCTTTGTGTGACCTGACACCAACACAGACGCAGCTAAGTTTCGTATGGTTATGCAAAGTAACAGCAAACTTCTAGAAACAGCAACACATTTAGTCCCGGCCATTTCGGGCGGTGAGTGGGTACACCTCCCCCACCCCCTCTTCCCAACTATATTTAAAACATCAGCTGAAAAGAAAGTAATTGTAACTGACTAACAGGAACGAGTTTGGCCTCCAAAGCACTTTAAGTCAATTCAGCATCGATAATAATAATTAATACATTAGTAAATAAAACTGAGGCTTCATCGCCAGCTCCTTTTACAATTTTCCTGAAAACTACAAATGCAGGCAATGTTAAAATAAAGCCGTTTGCATGTAACTTTTCAATCAGAAGGGAAAGCATTTGGGTTCTACTTGGAGACGTGTCTCACACATTTCCCTCCCCCTCCCCCCGCCTTTTTTTGGTAAGATATGTAAGAATAAACGTTACAGCTCTGGGCTTTTAAATTCTCCAGATGGAGTCATAAAGTACCTAGTGTGTATGTATATATATATATGTGTGTGTGTGTGTGTGTGTGTGTGTGTGTGTGTGTGTGTGGTGTGTGTATAAACACATGCCTGCTATTCACAACGAGGACCGAAAAGCAACTTAATCTGAAGGCAAAACCACTGAACCCCATTTCGAACAACACACTTGAACTAGTTAACTTTAAAGGCAGGGAACCGCTAAGAGTGTGGCCGTGGAAGTTTCTCCCTCCCACTTGAAGATCTACAAGGGAAGGCTTCACGTCTCTCTCTCTCTCTCTCTGGATATATGAGCACTTAGCCAAGTTGATGATTTTTTACAACACCATCGTACTATATAGTTAAGAGTCTCGGTTTATAACGCGTTCATATTAAACATGATTTGCCAGATCATACCACGAACGGGGTGGACTAGCCTTCTGATGAATGTGTGATTATATTCTCCCTATTTCTTCCTCCCCCCCCCCCCCACCCCCAAAAGCGATTCACTTACCCTGGCGGTGGTCCTCCGCTCCACTCGACACACACACATCTACACACACAGGAAATCGGTCTCATCTAAAGGAAAATCTGAAATCAACATTTTATCTGCACAAGATAAAGGCACACACATATAGGGCTCAGAGCTCAGGAGCCCTGAGTCTGGACGAAGAAGGGGGAAAAAGGGGGTATCAGGACAAGAAATCCTGTTTCCAGCTGTGGTATGAGGTCTGGCGTGGAAAGGAGCAAAATATTCTACTCATCCCCAAGACTAGGATTCACCCCTCCTCCCTTTCTCTCTTGTTTTGACTTACGTATGTTTATAGTAGGAGCAACTGGCTCACAACTAGAGCCATTGCCGAGAGTGCGTTTAAAGGGTGGCTGCTTTACTCCACTATAATTCAGTTCCCGCATGTGAGCCTCAGCCCCGCGTCACCTGGATACTGCAGACAAACAGCGTTAAATATGCATAAGGAACAGTTCATTTCTTAAAGGAGAACTTACCCGGACAGAAAGTTCGCGGCCCAACAGTAGGAGCACAGACGTGGTGGGTATTTCTTTTTCATTTGTAGAACCCTAATCCTTTCCTAGGGTTTTAATTTAAATACCCAGCCCACAGAGCTGTATAGTTCGTTCCCCTTTCTACTTCTGATTCATGTAGCCTGGGTGGGGAAAACAATCAAAAAATGAACATTAGAATTTTAGTTTCATTAACGTATCAATATTTTCACTCCAGGGAGCCCCCCGAGATGCTGAGAGCGGTCTGAGGGGCATGAAACTTCCCATATGGGGATCACATGGTCGCAGCACTAACAACCTATGCTGCTGCCATACAGTTAGTTATTTACACATATGAGGTTTTTAAAAAATCAGATCCTAAAAGAGAACAAACTGGGACTTTAAAGTGTGTGTGTGGGGGATCCACACAGGTGCATGCTTTCTTTGCTGCTTCTTAACAGGCTACATCACTGATGTACAAGGGGCTTGAATATTTGTTTGATCATGCTTTACATGTTGATGCTCTCTCGCTCGCTCTATCTCACACACACGCAGGTCCTGCAGTTAATGTTTAGCCAAATCCATATTTTTTTAAAAATTTTTTATGTATTTATTTTATTTATTTATTTTTGCTCAGACGAAAGCACAGCTCAGAAATGGATTGGCAGCACGTCTAGGACCTCTCATTGAAGTTTTCTCAATGATGAGTGGATTTGCATTTGTCTAGAGCCATATCTTCACATGTTTACTAAGAGCAAGATCCTGAAACCCATATTCAAGTTTTGAAGTCAATAGCGGTGCTGACTGAATAAGGGCTGCAGGTTCATGCTCTCTCTCTCTCTCTCTCTCTCTCTCTCACACACACACACACACACACACACACACGGTTGAAAACTCACTGCCAAAGTGCTCTCGCTAGACAATTTCGGCTAGAGATCTGTTGATGTTAGAAAGTCCCCACGTGAGACATAAACGCTGCTTGAGAGATCCTATCTTCCCTACCACTCATGTTCATCTTTTTCTTCAGATCTCCCAATCTACTGGTTTATGATCCGATATTTTCTCTCTCTCTTTTTAGGTGTCATTTCTTTTCGTTTCGGACAATAACACATTTTTACAAGCGGTTGTAAAGTCTTTAGCGCCATCTAACGGGAGCAATACGTCTTTCTGCTCCACAGAGAGCATGGCTAATTAATAAGCGGTTTGTTCAGTTTTGTTCCCTTTTTCCTCCTAATTTTCTAATTGCCAATTGCACATTTGTTAAAATACAAATTATTACAGGATACAGGAGTGTGTTATCTGGATTCCCTTTATGGAATTGCAAACTGCTCCAAAGACAACCAACAGGATTATAATGTTCCAAACTCTGCCTGCTTCAGGGTTTTTTTTGTTGTTGTTGTTGAGCTTTTATCCATTTGCCTGAAAGCACCTGCTTCTACTTTTAGAGATCTCTGCATGCAGAAAATTAGCTACAATCTTGCACCTCTCTGGAAGAAAAAAATTCGGGAGCAAGTCCTAATGGTAGCCTGATTTCTGTAAAGCAGCTTGCGGGGGTGGGATGCAACGTACATTTTAAATGTACACGATGCATCTGTTTTTCTTCAATTCAACAGGTATATTATAAAGTCATTAAGTGTCTACAACTTTTCTTCTCTCCCCCCCCCCCGACCCCCCTTAATCTGACTGGAGCAGAAAACTGAGCTGTGCTGGTCCAGTAATGAGACTTATGGGGGGGCGGAGTGAGTGTTAGGCGATCTCCTAACCTGCAAGAAATGGCTTCAGGATCCTTTTTTTTTTTTTTGGAGAGGGGGACGGGGACGGGGACGTAGGAATCAGTTACCTGAAAAGATTTTACAGCAAAATTCTTGACACTAAAGAGGAGGTACCTGTAGTAAGAGAGGGGGATTTAATCCACTATACAATTCTGCTCAAAGGTCCAACTGTGTTTTGTAACCTAGTAGAGGTCTTACACCCCAGGAATTTCCAGCAGACTATATGGGAACTTCCGCTTTTTTGTTTTTTCTCTCCCAGTTGCAGCTGTGAGGAGCTGGCAGATCAGCTCCTTTCCTAAGAAATAAAAAGGCGAAATGAACAAATACCACCTTGGCCTGAATGAATGCTGGTGTTCAGGATTAAGTTATACGTTGAGTGGGCAGCCAGAAGGCCTTTTGGTTTGGGATGTGGCTCAGCCCCAGACATTTTCTGCTGAACCAGTAGTAAACAGCAGTACTAGAGGAAATGTAGGGTGGGATTGTCACAAGCATTCAGGATTAGCCTAACTCTGCTCCCAGTGGAGTAAAAGAGTTAGGTCAACACTGAGCATTCTTGAAAACCCCACTTTTAATATAGACGGAGGCCTGTAAGACAAACTGACTGCTGCATTCGCTTCTATCTACTGCACTTGTGTATACAGTCCCAAAGGAAGGCAGAAAGTATTCTCTCTACACGTTGCGGTATTTTACTCCATGAACAGTAACCTTGTTGTAACCTTAAGTATCAAGAATTGTATTTACATCTGTTAATTCTTCAAATCATATTTACTTGGAGTCCATTTCTGAACTTATGTGATAACTGGACGCAGATCTCTGTGAAGTTCTTGTTTCCTATATCATGTACAGTTAAAACATCTTACATCATGTCCAGGAGGACAACATTATTGAACTGATAAAGGAAAATATAATGTAATGCTCCTTTAGATAAGCAACTAAAAAGGGAAATGATCAAAAGTGCATCTCTTCTGATGCTGCTGCTCCATACTGCACTATATTAGGCAGACAGTTCATCATCATCATAACCGCTGAACCAAACCATTCTGTGTTGTGTGGCCAAATTTTATGTAAGGTTTTGCATTGTTAAAGTTATAGGAGTGATTTATAACAACCACTGCTCTGGGCGATCTTCTGACATTTTATGAACATTACTGACTAATAACAAAGTATATACCCTCCCCCTTTCATCCCACCATCTCAGTGAACCTTGCAAATATACATGAAGTTTCACAGCACCCAAATAAGGTAGGTATTATTAGTAATCTTATTTTATATGTGAGAAAACTGAGACAGAGCCCTACATTTTCAAAAGTGACTAATGATTTTTATGCCTGGGTTTGTGGGTGCCCAAGCTGAGACTCCCTAAAGAAACCTGATTTTCAGAAAGTGCTGAGCAGCCACCCTCTGAAAACCAGGCTGCCTCGAGGTGTCTCTAAGTGGGCACCAAAAAACGGAGACCCCCCTAAATCATTAGTCACTGTAAAAAATTAGGCCAAAGAAGGTGAGTGACTTATCCAAAGCCACATAGGGAATCTGTGCAGAATGAGGACTAGAAGGCAGCTCAGGCTTTTAGTCATGTATTCTAATCATTAGACAACAGATGATGTTACCATCTTTTTGCATGATGAGTTATCATAAGCTAAACCACAATTGACTTTTATTTTGGTATGAGGATGATGTTTTTACAGCCTTTGTCCTGGGCTGAAAAGTTCATGCCTTGACAGATACCTAGAATCCCAATATTAGGAAGCAGAAGTTTATTCCTGAAGATCCAGAGAAATCTCTAAAAAAGTATCAGCTCCATTGTGAAATATATATAACATAGCTCCAATTATGTTATCTTTTACATTGTAGAAACAAAAATACCTTTCGCTTTCTTAAATGAGGAATAAATATGAGGAAAGCTGTCCCAAAATACTCTACCCACATGTTGTTCAAATCAAATATTTCTTAGGGGTATTTATCAGTTGTCCCCTTTCTTAAGAGTCCGAATCCAGGAGGATGGCTATTGACATGGATCTTTGTCACAATTTCCAGTTTAAAAAGAAAGGTCCAACATGAACTTGGTGCAGGATTGATACTTTTAGCTACGAAGCAGCCATCCAGGGAGGATTTTGTTTTAATCAGCTAGGAAAAAAAGATTGCAGCTTGACCTAAAATATGCCACCTATTTTCTTTTGCTCATATAATCTGATGTACTTCTGAGTTTTCTTTTATATTCAAAGAAGTTAAGCTGCTGCTCTGAAAGTCTTTCAGCACTGTGGCTTTTCACATACTCAGAAGATGAGTGCAACTCCTAAAGGAAACTGAAGGCAAACTGGATATCTCTGTTGGTCCCAGAAGGGGCACAAGCAGGATCAGCTGCAGAAGGGTAAAGGTATCTTACATTGTTACAATCCCTTGATTAGAACACCTGAAGGCTCTGATCCTGAATCCACTGAAGTTGATGGAAACAGGATTCTATTCAAGTTCTTTTTACTGAACCCATCAATGAGGTATCTAAATGGTCCTTATGTTTTTTTCTAGAGCTCATTTAATATTTGGGTGGATAAATAACCTGTCAACCTCCACAGATTTCCTTTATCCTTTTTGCCTTCCTGCAGAAAGATTAGGGGCCAGGTTCTCCTTAGTCTAATTTCTTAGTACCACTCCAGCAGACCAAAGGAGCTCTGAACTCCATGGCTACAATTGCTAAACCTAGGTGCATAAAGTTAGAAACCTAAATCCACACTTGGGCATGATGAGAATAACAGTGGGTTGATTTTCAAAGGTGCTAAGGACTGGCAGGAGCAAGTGATGCAACAAGAGTGGTGGATGCATAGTACCTATGAAAATCAGGCACTTTTTATTTAGATGTCAATGTCTGGATTTAGGTGAGTAACACTAGGTACACAAGTTTGAACATTTTGGCCCATGTGTTCTATTTCTTCAGGGCCCTCTAATCTTAAACCTTTACCATAGAAAACTCTGAATGATTTCAGTGTTCCACCTTGCTAACAATATGGTTTGAATCAGATACACTGCACAAAGACAATTTTGATTTTTAAGAAGAAGAATCTGTTTTTATTCCTTTGGGTATGAAAAAAAAACTTGGTGGAGCTTGTCTACCTTGATAGTCAACACACAGCATATGCATTGTGATATGGATGCACTGATACGACATGTTTTCTTTCCTTACCAAAATAACCTAGCAGTTAAAACAGCCTTGCTGAAGAAACACATTCATTTAGCAATCATGCAATTTCACAATACATATTGATATCACATTTTAGGATGGAAAATACAACACTAAGCAGTAGTAAAAGAAGGTTGAATAATAGCAATTTGTGAAATTAGTTACAGGAGCAAAGGTTGCCTTTTCTCTTAAAGCCCTGTATTCATCTGGAAATCGTAACATCTTTGCACGTGATCCAATGCTGACTATGACTTTACAATCAATGTAGACAAGGACAAGTTGTGTTCAGCATGATGTCACATAGCGAGGGCAAGGTTTCAGCATGACGAGCTGCCATGAAGCTGAACATGATTTGTCCTTGTTGACACTGAACGCAAATTCGTGGTCAGCATCATGTCAAGTAACTCAAATTATTAAACATACTGTATTGCCAACCCCAAGTGATCAAAAATCACCCATCAGCCCCCCAAAATCCCAGCATTGGCTTAAAAAGCATTACATTTAAAAATAATAATACATTTGGGATTCTTTTATTTACCTTCTGGTTTCCAAACCTTTAAAGGGCAGTTGGAGTTTAGGCTTTTCTCCACAATCTTGAGGGCCTTTTGAAAAAAATGAAAGCTGAGATTTTCACATGGCCTCAGGAGCTGGACTTGAAGAAGAACACCAAATATAGTGAGACTTGCATTATAATCATTAAATTCATCCTGTCCAGATGGCCAGCACAAAGCTTATAGAGAGATGGATTTGTACTAGAATAGTACAGAGGAAGCCAGAATAACCAGTCACTAGATTTGTGAGCAAAACATATCTCAGAGACCTTGTCACCTCTATGCTTTAGAGTAAACTTTCTTCCATGGTACTTCAGCCTCCTGGGGAAAGGGCAAAGGGAACTGGACTCCAAGAACCAAAAGCAATCTAGTTAATTATTGCACCTGCTCATCTTTGAGGACGATCTTGGTCATGTCTACTTCCTCAAAGACTAGGATACACTTCATTCCTGATTCTCCATGGAAGATTTCCTATTGCTTTCCATGGGAACAGGTCTAAGCCCTTAGCTCTGCAATTAGTATCATAGCTCCAGTCACTGGCAAAAGTTAGCACGGCACAAGCACAAAACAATGTGTAAATACTTACAAATTTGTTATTTTTCACTCTGTGTGTGCGGGGGGGGGGGGATGGAGGGGAGGGAGGAATACTGGAAGGGCCTACTTCTCCAGGAACGGCTTCTCCAGTTTTAATATTCAAATGGTAAAGTACAGTTTTTATTGAGCTATGTGTGAGCAAAACAATGTATTAAATTGTACCTAAAAGTGCATTCTCCTCATCTTTCCATTACTCAAAATTTGATGGATGGATTTAGCTCAAAGTTTAAAAGAAATATGCACCCTATGGCTCCAAGATGAGAAATTTCAGCTGGGAAGGAGAATATTTAAGAAAGTTCTGAGCACATGGAAGCAAGACCAAGTTGCGGTCCATCCTTAGCTATCACAAAAGCTATAATAGACTCCTGCTCTCTTTTCAGTTTCAAAGGGCCGCAAAAATAAAGGGCAACATTTGGAAAGTGGTACTGAAATTGGGTGCCTTGCTGTTGTGATGATCAGCTTGAAGGTCTGATTACCCCCCACTCTAAGGAAGTCACTTGGAGGTGCAGGTGTTCAGCATCGCTAGAAATGAGGGGCAATGTGTTTCACATTGGGAACTCCTCTCCCACACACACACACCAGCCTTTATTATTTAGTATTATTATTTGTATTATCAGAGTACCTAGGAGCCCCAGTCATAGCCCTGGACCCCCACTGTGCTCGGCGCTGTACAAACACAGAACAAAAAGACAGTCCCTTTCCCAAAGAGCTTACATTCTATGTATTAGACAAGAGACAACTGATGGATAGAGACATGGGAGTACAAGGAAACAAATCTGACTTCTGCTCTACCAAAAGCAAAAGCACATTCAGGGGAAAAATTTCAAAGAATCTCCTACTTGTGTGTTTGCAAAATTGCTCACACGCCAACCTGATGAGTTCAAAAATCATGAGCCAGAACCTAAAATCAAGAGATTGGCCTAAAAATCATGAGATTTATTTTGAAAATAAATAATTTGTGCTTTTTCATTAAATGTTATTTCTTTCTTTTCTGTCTTCTGACCTTTCCCTGCTCATTCCCGGTGTGTGAGACAGTCATAGGTTAACAGTTCAATGCTCCAGCTCCCCACACAGCTTCTCCTGGACTCTTCCCCTCCCTCCCACTGCACACAGCTCTCCCTGCTCCTCCAATCTTCCCAGCAGTTCTCCTGCCATCCCCAGCTCCCGCACCTGGCAGGCTCCTGCAGCTGTATCCTGTCACCCAGCAAGATCCTGTCCCCCTCCCAGGCCCATTTCCCCCCATTAACCTCCTGTAGCCTTTCCAACTCCCTAGCCTCCAGTCCTCTGGCAGGCTCCGGCAGCTTCCCAACTTTAACTGCCTGCATGAGGTGGAGTGCAGTAAGGCCCCTGCTGTGGAACTTAGAGGGGCAGCTCTTCTGGCCAGTCAGGGGGCAGAGGATAAGCAAGCAGTTACGGCTGCCTGTGGCACAGCAGCCTCTATCAGCCAAGGGGGAAACTGCAGGTGGTTCTGGCAAAAGTTCCTTTGTCATCTGGTGAGATTCTGAGTAACCCGCAAATTTGGATGCTTTGCAAGTGCAGTGCTAGCAACACTGCATTCCCATCTGCCTGCTCAAACTGGAGCCCCTTCAAAATGTGACCATGTCACATCTGAAGTCAATGGAGTTACATTAACGTACAGCTGGCATAAGTAAGAGGAGAAGTAGTTCCTTGTTTTCAAACTTCCGTTGCTAACAAAAAATGGTACAATGAACAGTTTAGAAGCATACCCCTCTATTCTCCATAACAATGTGTACTCTTTTTCATATTTCAGGACATGACTTGTCCCTCCCTGTCATTCTCTGAGGGAGGCCATGCTTCCTCACTGCCAAGTACCTGTAAAGGTGAGCTCAAAATGGGGAATTAGCTGCACCTAGTGCTCCGTCCCTCAGTCAGCATGGGGAAGCATACAGTTAGTAGGCTCTGATCTGCAATCAGGGCAGAGCTGCTAAGCAGTCTATGAGCCCCAGGTAAGGGTGAGCACCAACCAAGTCTAGGGCTGGGTGAAGACGGGGTAGTTGATAGGATACCATGGGCCTCCTGGCCTAAGATGGGGTGCTGCCACCAAGGGGTGGGGTGCTAGGGGGTAAGGGGATGCAGGCCTGCCCAACTCCACCACCTCCCAGCCAAGGGCCCTGATAGTGGCAGAGTGGTCCGCCACTGCATCAGTGGGGATCCAGCCAAAACACGCTGACCTCCTATCAGGCCAGCACTCAACCAAATTGTTGTCTCGTTTCCCTGGGCTACTTCCTACATCCCCAAGGTTTGGTACCTCTATGTTGTAGTTGTCCTCTGTCTCTCCAGAATAGGTGGCCAGCAGCAGCCCTAGTAGCTCGTAGGTGTCTCACTCAGCCAGTGGCCCTGGGATCTCTGGCCAGTCCCCAGGAGGCAGCCCTGGCAGCTCCTCTGCAGGCTCCAGCAGCAGGCAGGATACATCCATCTCCTGTGATGGCTCCACCACAACTAAGCTGCAGGGCCCATCTTTTGTACTTCCACTTCCTGTCCTGCCCTTCCGCTTCCAATGAGGCGGACATGGCTTTCCTGGTTCTGCACACCAGGGGGCGTGTTTTGATCCTTCCCTGTCACTCTTTGAGGAAGGTCATGCCTCCTCGCTACAGACATGTAATTATGAAGAGTGCTATATCACTCCATTATACAAGTAGGGGCCTGATCCTCTTCTCACTCACATTAATTTTACATCAGTGTAACTCAACTGACTCAAATGGACTTTCTCCTGATTTTGGGCAGTGTGAGAGGAGAAAAAGTTCCCTCTGGGCACCCAGACTTGTGTGCTGAATGGGGAGTGTTCAGTGATAAACCCTGGAATTCCACGCATGAATCAAAGGAAATGTATTTTTATGTCATTTCAACAGTATCTTATTGTATTGCTTTGTAAGTAGTAAAAAATGCCATTAATACTAAAAATGTTCATAGGTTTAAGGGTTATTGGGAGAGGTCTGTCACAAACTGTTTTCTGCTGTCTCTGGAAAAGTTAATGCAATTTTTTTTTAAAAGTAGGTGTAATGAAAGCTTAGACGGTGAGATGAGAACATTCCTGGGTGAAGATGTGAGAGGATGGACTTGATTTGGTAGTTTCCTGCCATCTCTCTCACTTTATTACCGTGATGGGACTGTAGGTGGAAAAAGTGAGCAGTTTTTATTTGTAAGAGCACAAGGGGTTGTGTCAGTGCCAAATGTTAACCAGATGACCCACTCATATATGATCAAAAGAAAGTGTCTGCAGAATCACATGTTTAGTGCTATACCCAAGTAATACTTGTGTAAACGCCAACAATATAAAAATATGCATTTGCATGGAAACAGCAATAGTTCTTCTGGAAGATTATAAAGAATCTATAACTTGATTCACTGACTCATGTTAAAAATAATCATAAGACATTTCCATTTGACTATTGCAAGACTTTTTGCATGACTGATGGCTTGTCTTCTACTTTCTGTTTCACTCTGATCTTCATATTACCATTAGCATTGGGCAAGCTGGCAAAGGTGTGGTATTGCGTTAGGTACAGATAAGCGTCTAAAAGTTCAGCTGAAGAGCTGAAGTTGAATTTTGAAAGGAACTTCCGTCATCCGCTCACCTCTGCAAACCTCCACATCAATCTGTCTTACAAATATCCAGCCATACTTAGCTGGGTCCACCAAAATATACTGTATTTTGGCATAGCTGGTATTTCTTATATCATCATCTTCTCTCTTCCACTGAGTGCTATTAAAGAAAGCTCAGCAATAACTGTCAGTCTGGACAATTTCAAAATATGCCCACCAAGCCTCCAGTGACATAGTTCCAACAGCATTTAATCCTCTGCAAACAGCTTGCTAAAAGAGACAACTAGGCCACTCCTACGATCAGAAGTGTATGGGCAACGCTTAAAAAGTTTGCTGCATAGCCATATTGGATAGGAGTGTGAAAAAATTAAACCCGTAACTGTCATAACTATGCTGGCAAAAGTGTAGGTGCAGCTTATATGGAGAAGAAAATCCTTTTGTCGCTATGGCTTATTTTGTTCAGGGAGCTGGTACAAGCTATACCAGCAAAAGCACTCTTTTTCTGGTATAAGCTGTGTCTACACTAGGAGGGTATGCTGGCATAGATCTATGAGTACACCTATATCAACAAACCCTTTCGAGAGTAAACAGGGTCTAAAGAAGTAGCAGGCTACTTGGCCTTTCCAGTCTATCAAAAAGCTGAGAGCTGGGGCTTTCTTTAGTGGTGATTATCTAGCTAGAGATGGAGCGGGGAGATGATATACAATGACATAAGAAATGCTGGAAACCATCTGCTTGGTGGGCTCCATCATGCATGCTCTCCATTCAGAGAACTCCCGCTGAAGTCAATGGGAGTTTAGCGTGCAGATGGCTTCCAGGACTGGGACCAACACTAGTTTAAAAACAGCTGTATTTGTAGTATGATGGCATGACACGAAGTGTATTATTTTCCATACAAAGAGTTTGTGTATTAGTGAGTACCGAAAAAATGGCAAAAAGGTGCATTACATAGAAATAGATTTGTCTGTTGTTCTTAGATGAGCTTAAAGCAGCTCAGCAGTGGCTTGACTTGCATAGCCCAAATGTATCCAAAAATAGTTTGTTTTCTTTAAACTCAGAGTAATATTTGATCATATAAAACTGAAGTGTAGAAGTTTACTGGTACTACAGCTTTCTGTTGTAATGGATTCAAAACTGATGTGTCAATTAGAAAAAATAGTGTGTCTCCTAAAACAAGGTCCATTTTTGATGCAACAATGTTTGTTAATAGCAAATCTCTCATACAGTCAAAACAATATAACTCTGTACATGATCGTTGCCATATACACATATTATACATATTCACTGAAGATATGTTGACGAGTCAGTCAGCTGATCTGTATAGCTCTGGGATATGGCTATTGATTTAACAGTAAATTAAATTAGAGAAAGTATTGTCTAACAGTTAAAGCACAGCCTTAGGAGTGACTTAGGCAAGCAACTTAAACTCTCTGTATCAGTTTCACTCTCTGCAAAATAGGGAATAAGAATAATACTTCTTTTTCTTACAGAGGCACTTGAAGATTTATGAATGTATCTAAAATAGTTTGACATTTTTTGATGAAAAGTGCAATATATGTGTGAATTATTATTATTATTGAATAATGATTATTGGAATAAAACTGGACCTTTAACTTCAGAGATTTGAGGCAGGTTAGGCATTAGCCTCTTTACTGCTACTATCTATGTGGGCTTTAGGGCCAGGTTGTCCTCTGTTCAGGTCTTTGTCCCACAAGGCAAGTGTTTTCACCCCTGGCATTTCCCTCAGTTTGTTCTGTGTGTGGCAGGAGGCTTAGTTCATGGAACGTACAGATCTCCTGAGACCCTCTAGAGGTCTTACCCAACTGGTTGGAGGCCCTGTGCCTCTGTGCTATCTGCCACCACCTTATTTCCCTGGTTCTCTGGCAGCACGACCCTGAGAGAGACATGGAGCCATAGCTTCCCACTCTCTTTGCTGTCCCAAGAACCATACTTCAAGGGATTGTTCCAAGTGTGGAGAATGAGCCCACTCAAAGTACTGCTGAAACAGTGAGCATTGACAGGTTTCAGAGTAACAGCCGTGTTAGTCTGTATTCGCAAAAAGAAAAGGAGTACTTGTGGCACCCTAGAGACTAACCAATTTATTTGAGCATGAGCTTTCGTGAGCTACAGCTCACTTCATCGGATGCATACCGTGGAAACTGCAGCAGACTTTATATACACACAGAGAACATGAAACAATACCTAAGTCTGCTGCAGTTTCCACGGTATGCATCCGATGAAGTGAGCTGTAGCTCACGAAAGCTCATGCTCAAATAAATTGGTTAGTCTCTAAGGTGCCACAAGGACTCCTTTTCTTTTAGTGAGCATTGAGTTAGGCGGGGAATCCCTGTTGAGCTGACGGAGGTACAATGCGACAGAGAGATTGGCTGTCCCTCTGCCTCAGTTATGGATGGGCCCCTGCGCCATCCCCTTCCAAACTATGGCTCCACATCCCCAAGGTACCCCCAGAGATCGCACTTCTCCCTTCTGCACCCCCTTTCTGTGCCTGAATCCACCAGGTGTTCATCCCTTCCACCCACAGAGGCAAAGGTGATGATTTGGCTTTAATGGCCTTATAAGCCACCTAGTCCCATTTCTCAGATCACATCTGGATGACGGTGTATACATCCAGCACTGCTTTTTCAGCTTATTCGTTAATATTTTAGAATAAGTACATAATAAAAATGATGAAGGCTGTTGCCTTCAGCTTAGCTACTTACAGAAAATGTTATAAGGATATTAAACCAAACAATGGTTTGTTCTCATCTGGTTCTCCAGATGTTTGCTATGACTCTTTATTTTCTATCAATCAGTTAACCATGGTTATCTCTTTTCCTTAGCAACATAGCTCCAAAACACAATCAAAGAAACTGAAGGCAAATAATGAGGACTAGATTGTATTTGATCACTGCCAATTGTTTAAGGGGAAAGGAGACTGCACAAAGCATTGCCAGCTTTGCACTGCTGCACAGTGGCCTGGCACAAGTTCAGTTCTCCCCATGCCCCCATGGGCACTACCCATTCCAAAGTGGACCCTGCAACAGTAGCTGCTCTATCAGTGGACACTGACTCCTGCCGTGTGACAGGGATGGCACCATTTGAAAATCATTCCCTTGTCATGTAAACAGGAGGGGAAACACTGAGTAGTATCTTTCTCTTGCCAGCACTCCTGGGTGTGCCACTTTTATGACAGACCCCTCTCCACACCTTCAAGAGGTTGCAAGCTGCCATGCTTTACAGTGTAGCACTGCATACCTGCAGAAGCTCCTGGAGGGATTACGTCTCTTTGGGCTCTGGCCCCAACTGTGACTTCTGACTGCTTGAAAATCTGGCCCTCCACTCTTTGGAAAGTCTAGTCCTAAATGGTTCTGCCTACACAGCAATTAAACACCCGTGGGTGGCCCAGGCCAGCTGAGTCAGGCTCTCAGGGCTCAGGCTGCAGGGCTGTAAAACTGCAGCGCAGCCATTCAGGCTCAGGCTTAGGACTCTGGGACCCTCCCACCTTGCGGGGTCCCAGAGCTCAGGCTCCAGCCTGAGCCTAAACAGCTGTACCTCAATTTTACAGCCTCACAGTCTGAACCCCGTAAGCCCAAGTCAGTGACCTGGGCCACCCACGGGTGTTTAATTGCTGCATGGATGTATCCAATGAGCAAGCTGGAAAGTCACCATCCTAACGCTTGTTGTTTTTGCCTAGTTCACAGGTAGCATGGAAATATTTGCAGTGTTCATGTCAAATATAATGCACAAGTCAAGTAAAAATAATGCACTATGCTGTCATTTGGATGAACTCTTAAGATTCCGCTAAATACTGTTTTAACATCAGACTCAAGAAAATTCCCCATTTATTTGTATTACCTTTCTGTTTTAAAATACTGAGCATATTTCTTAATTCCAATGTATTTTAAAAAGAGAGAGAGATTCTCTGTGGAATGAACAGATTATGCTAGTCCACTTGGGGATCGACATTATTTCTTGCTGTTAAATTTCTCAGGGAATGGATGTTAATATCATGACAGGTATTTGACAGCAGTACTAGAAAAGAAAAGAGATGCATCAAGTCATTCGATTAGAGATAGAACGGAAAGGGGAAGATAGCATGTAGTGATACCTGCAAATTCTCCTGTCAGAGTGAATCTCTTGTTAAATGTAACTACACTAGTGCCTGGTCTTGGCCAGATTTGAGACAATGTGTGTTTTGCCATTGACTTGAATGGGAGCAGGACTGAGGCTCCAAATTATGCTTTCCCATCCATGCACAGAACTCCCATTGACTTCACTAGGTGTTGCAAATTCATCTCAGGAGGCAGAATTTGGCTCTGTTAAAAATCTCCAAGCTATGGGAGTGGAGACTGTATGCAGGGCAGATCAGATATTATACAGAACAAGTATGAAATACAAACCTCACAGAATTAACATATATTGTCACATTCTATTAAGGGCTTCTGTTGGGCTAGATCAGATTAAATGCAGTGAATCCCAGTCATTTTACAGCATATGGAAATATTGTCATGGATAGATTTTTTCATTAATGAATATAATGGAGAATAATGAACAATAGACAAAAAAGAGAGACGATGTAAAGCCAATCAAAGGAAGGGCAGATGTTTAAAAAATATTTTACTATTCAGGATTGTGATCCAACAAAAGCAATTATGTTTCTGCTTTCTCAATTCCAAAACAGCAGAAAGAGCTTTGAGGTTTTCCAGTGCCTATCTACACACCGTTAACTGAACAGAAGGTAACAATAATACCAAACATAGCCAAAGGCAACTGATTCCATGCAATGCTCATAATTTGGGACATTCATGAATTAAACGGGACCATAATCAAGACGGTGAAATATATATAATCAAAAATTGCCTAAGAAATCTATAAGGAGCCTAATTAAACTCTGTTATTCCACTGGGGGGAAAAAAGGAATAATTAAAACAAAACAAAAGCACCATCTACAGGTGGAAATTGCACTTGGTATCTGCCCTCTGAACTCATGGAAATATAATGTTTGGGATTTTGTCAAGAAATGGTTGATGTATTGCAGCAGAAAGAAATTTTGTTTCTTGGTAAAATGATTGATGTTATCTTTGCGAAAGGGTTTGCCAATGTCCTCCTGTTTTCTTGAATGGATAACTACTGTGATGTAATTAAATATACAGTGGACCGTATTCTGCTCACAGCATCATTAGCCAGGCAAATTGATTCAAATCAATGGGGTTGAATGGGTATAACTGAGGGAAGAATGTGGCTCAGTGTGCACAGGACAGAAGAGGGAACTGACAAGCAAATCAAGGATGTCCAAATGCAGATAAAATCCATGACTTTATCAACATTTGTCATTATTCATCTGTGATTTGTTTGCCTCCCTGCTGTTCTTCTATCCTGCTCACTTGCCCTGGCAGGGACCTCTTCAGTAAGCCAAGCAACCCAGGCCAGGCTCCCCACTTCACTTGTTCCTTTCAGTTAGGGAGAAGGAAACCCATTGTGTGTATCTGTGTGGTTTTTTTTACAGGGAGCAAATGGCATTTCTTCACTGGAGTACGGGGGCCAGGAACCTTGTGCGTAACCTCTTGCAACTGGCCAGCCAGTTTGCAAAGGAAACACTAGTTTATAGCTACACATTAAAATATGGGCCTAGATTCTCAGCTGCACCTAGTGTCTACTGGGTGCAGCTAAGATGAGTATGAGGGGCTGTAAAAGAGCCAGCTAGGGATCTCTGATTCTGGGGTCAGTTCTTTGTTAGCCTGGATGGTGTAGATTAGAGCAGCCTCAGGATGTAGTAATCTACATCAGATGGCTATGTCCTCTAAGACAGCAGTTCCCAAACTTTTTAGTCCGGCGACCCACCGACTGCATTTTGTCTTATTTTGCAACCCACCCGGGGTCCAAATTTGTGGGCAGAGGAGAACCAAAATCATAGGCCAGCATCCTTCTCCTCTTCCATTGCCTCCTCCTTCTCGCTCCTCAGAAGGGGCACTGACCACCCAGAACAGCACCCTCCACCCCAGCACGGCAACCCTAACCCTGGCCTGGTGCAGAGGGGAGGCTCCAGGGGAGTGGGGATTGGCGAGCAAACCCATCCTCTACTCATCTCATAGTGGCATCTCTGGTTCTGTGGGACTGGGCCCAGCTCTGTGCTCCAAGCATTGCAATCTGGTGCATGGGATCATGACAAGGGGCGGCCAGGACAAATTTGAGTGAGTGGCATCGGGCAGCCAGATCAAACCTGAGAGGTACTGCAATCCCATGTGCTAGGTCACAACGCCTGGAGTGAGGAGCCAGGCCAGCCCCATGGGACAAGAGCCACCACTTTGGAGTGAATGGGGGGCGGGCCCACTGTCCAACACCTCCCCCGCCCGGGGATCTCCCCGCCACACCAGGCCCACGACCCATCTAGAACCTTCCCACGACCCTCTGTTTGGGAAACGCAGCTCTTAGGGGCCATCTGTGAGATGGGAATTGGCGTAGGCCAGTAGTTCTTCAGCCATGCCCCTTCCTGCCCACAACACACTACTTGAAATTGCTGCTGTAGACACAGATTGAATAGGAATCAGCTGTGCCAGCTTTACACGAGCTGGGGCCTACTCCACACCAAGGGAATCCTCAAGTGGGAAGATTCAGAATCTCTCCAGTCTCTTTGCACTACCCCAGTGGTGCAAAGAGACCCAATGATTTAGAGAATCTGGCCCATAGTGTCCTTATTCCTTACGTCAATCAACTCAGCTAGATGGAATGGTAAGGAAGAGGAAGACAAAATTCAAAGAGAATCAAAGTATGTCATTTTAGTTCTTTTATGGATAAACATGCATAATCTGATGTCTTGCTTAGACAGTTATTTTAAAAGAAACTTGTAATCTTTTTTAATTAAAATGGAGAGGAATAGACTATAAATATGAATACAACAAAGTAGGAGTTGACAGCACACAGCCTTCCAGACAATCTCTTTCAGTTGTTATAGAGTATAATACAATATTGGTTTTCCTCTGCAATTTTTCCATAATGTTTATGTTTGTTTTAGGTAGCAGATTACCCTTTTTTTTTTCTTCTTTCAGATTTCATGTCTTGTGGAATAGGCCCTCACTTTACAGCTAACATGGTGGAAAGCAAATGAGAGTATCTGAGAGAAAAAGAGACAAAGAGATTTTTGGTTTAAGCAGAACACATCTGAATTGCGGATGTACTATTATCAGTATTAAGCTCTGAGTATTAAAATGCTGATTGTTCCAGTCCTCATTACCTTATTTTACCTCTGCCTTTTCCCCATTGCATGCTTTGCTTTACCTCCATTGTCTGTCTGCTTAACTTGTAAAATGCTAAAAGAAGTTTTGATATTTACCTGTTTATGATTAAATTGCAAAATGATTTGCTTAGTTCTGTTCTAAATTAAGGTCTGCATTAAATGTCATAGCATTTATCTTTCATAAAATGAGACAGCCAGGACACTAATTTCCGAGGTATTCAATCACTGCCCTATGCCACTTGAGAGGCAGTTTGGGAATGAGCCTGCCCACAGTTCACAGCTCACTGACAGCACTGAGATGGAATCATAAAAGTCAATTAATCATTAAAAGCTGTTACAAGCACATATCGAACCAGTCTGGCACAAAATGTTAATCAGTCCCATATCAATATCATAAATTCCTGCAAATTGGAGCGATCGATACCTTTAAGGCCTAATGAATCAATCGGAGGGCACTAGGCCGCTCCTCTGGGTCCCAGTAACATGGCTGCCCTGCGACTGCTACATCTCCAGGCGTGCTGCCAACAGAGGTCACCTATCCCAACAGGCTGTTCACTTCAGCAGCAGTTACCACGGTGACAGCATGTCACTGTTGCCCTAGTGTCCTTCTAGGTAAGGTGGAAACCAATGCATCACTGCCTTTGATGGATTTGTCAATAATACTTAGCAGGGGAGGGGAACTGCTCACATAACACTCGCAGGTCTGCAGTCCCTGAGCAGTTTGGGGTGATTTAATTGTTTGAAGAGATGTGTGCTTCTGCATATATGCAGGGACTAAATAGTGGTCACAGGAAGCATGAGTTGGCAGTTAGAATTACTGCAGTCAGAAACCTTGGGAAACTAGAAAACAGCAAGCAGCTGAGGTGGCTGGCTTAGTGTTACATTAACCAAGTAGCTGTGGAAGTAAGAAATAACCTGGAGCTTCTCAGACGAAGAATTTATTATCTACAAAATTGTAATCTATTACTCATGAATGGCTATGGAGTTGCTTATTAATCCCTACCCCCCCAGGCTCAGAAGCAGCATTTTCATCCATCCTCTTACATACTGTTGATGATAACCAATAAAATGCTGTCAGTAACTTCCTTCCCCCCACCCACGCTAGTTTTGATTCGATGGGATTCTATTTTATTACCTGAATGATGCCTTGGAGGACTGGAGTGGGCCTACCCTGCGGCTGTGAGATTTGACACCTTTTGTTTCTGCATTTGTTTTGTTTTGAGAAATCAAGTTACATGTTCAGAATAGCACATAGTCAGGTTATACCCTCACCCTACACAGCCACAGTGTGAGTCAGCCAACCCCAACCCCTCCTGCGCAGCCAGGTAGCACCTATCTTGATCGTGGCTGCAGGCCTAGGGGGGACTGCAAGCAAGTGTGAGGGACGGGGTGGGACAAGGCAGAAAGGGACAGAAGTAGGTGGAGATTTGACTTTGCTCCCTTGTCTGCACCTGCCAAAGGAGCTGTCTGGATGCAAGCTGCGGAGTAAGTATGTTGCAAGGTGGACTCGGCTTCCCCCATCACCTTCAGCACAAAATGTGAACTCTGGAGGAATTGTTCCTTAGAGGACTTGCCTCTGCTGCACAGTGAAATACTGGTGTTCTTACTGGGCTGGCACAGCTATGTATCTAAACTGGCTCAATCACGCCCAATCCATTTATCTATTGTTACCCTTATTCAGTCTGGCCTGCAATGGAGCAAAATAGCATTTTTAGGACTGCAGGAGATAATGAAACCTCTTTAGAGATGAAAGAAATGCTGGATACTGTGACTCTAGGCAAGGAGCATGTTCCAGAAATTGCATTGTCATTTAACATAAAACATAAAGGGTAATGCTGAATAACAGAATACCCATGCTGATTATTTTAGTAGTCTCAAAGTATAACTTTTTTCCAGATTGCAGCTATCTAGAACATGGGCTGTGCGTGTGGCAGCATTATTTTGTCCTCTTCCACAGTACAGAGATGATGTTTCCATTAAGTTCACCACGGAGACGCTATTGTGCCGAGCTCCCTTACAATCATTCCATACTGTATGGAAAATGGAAAATATCCCAATCCAAAGACATGCTAATTCCTGAGGTTTGCACATTTTTAAAGATTAATAAAAACTCCTTTTTATTATTAGCTGACTTCTAGGAAAATCAAAATAAATTAGGAATCCTACGGTAAAGAAATCTCCTATTCAACATATTGAGACAGGCTGATGTTATGAGTGTTCAGACAAAGGTAATACAGCGCATCTACTTAATTGCCCTGACACCTGGCTCAGTTCCTCCAGCTATACTCTGAGTGCTAAAAAAATCTCTCATTGTTATTAATTGTATTCCTTTGTAAATGTAATGTCATATCGCTCCAGGCTAAGCTAATGAAACATACCCATATTACCAAAATAGGCATATTTCTTTTTGTACAACACATTCCATCAAAACTGTCTGCAAAAGACATTGTGTTAAAGACCTTTCATAGAGCAATATAAAGAATATCTCAACTCTTACTCCAACATTTCTATTACATGATTATTAAAATGCCCATGAGGACTAAATAATATTGAGTGAATTCAGTTATCATATAAGACTTTAGAAATATTGTTAATTCCAGCTGCTGATTTATGTTAATATTAATGCTAGATTACATGCTATGGCTACTAAACAGCTACTGCATACCAATTCACACAAAGACAGGCTCTCTCCAATGTACTGGAGCTGTGTTCCCCTGTTATAATGAGAATCTGAATTATTTATTGCTATTTATCTTACGGTAGTTCACTTGACCACACTCACTCTTTCTGTTTCTACTGCACATCAATGCATGTAAACATGACACAATAACAGCTGCAAACTTCACATATTTCAGCCTCTTTACATCATATGAGATCAGTAGCAGGCTTTAACCAAAACTGTTCCCCAATGGGCTCCTGCTGAAAAAGAGAGGACAAACATACTTCCTAACACTCAAGGGAACATCAAAAAGTGAAGTCAGCTTTTAGTGCATTTTAAATGTAAGCATTGCTGTGAATATTAAAATTGAGCATAAAGGTGACTCTTCATTCTGGACGCGTCTTGAATTTGTGCTGACCAGTCGAATGTTAGTGTTGTCACTCAGCTAAGACAATGTTCCTAGTGCTCTAGCGCGCGATTTTTCCCTGGAGGGTACTGAAAACCAAAAGGGCCAAGACTCTCTTGAAACATCATTAAGAAACAGAGCCTTACTTAGGAAGCAGTAACGTAGACTAGTAGAAATTAGTAATGGGAAGACCTGTGAGATCATCTAATCCATCTCCCTCTCTGAGGGCATGTAGCACTGGGATTCCAAAGGGTCTGATCCAAAGCCCCATTGAAATTGATATAAAGCCATCAATTTGATCTTCCCGCCATTCCCCTCCTGGTGGTGGGGCCATGCTAGGAGCATGTAGGATCAGTGAACTGGAAAGCCTCAGCAAGGCAGCTGTTTGGTGGAAAGAAGTCTCTTTCCTTCTCCTCATGTATACTCTTAGCTCCCATCTCAGCTGCTCAGGTTGAGGATTTGGCCCTTAGTTCACATGGTCACTCTTTACAGGCAGCTGATAAACTACTTGATTAAATACGTTGTTCAATTTTATTTAACATTCTTTTACTGGCAGTTTTAAGGCCATTGCCAAAATGTGAAATCTTACACCCAAGGGGCCAGCCCTGAAGAGTCTGTCTCCACAAATAAAGATTAGTCAGGTGAGGCAGCTATGCAGGATTACAATAGCTGGAAAATACAGCAAACTATAAAGAAAGATACAAACAATGAAAACTACATATCCAATTAGAAAAGTCACAGATGCGGACATTGCAGCGCTAATACAGGTATGTAGGGCCAGATACACCAATACACTTCAGCTTTGACAACACAAAACTGCCATGAACCCATCTTAACTGGCCAGTTAAACTGAGTTTATGGCTGCTTTGCCTCATTGGAGTGACACAGAGAAGCTGAAGCCTACCAGTGAATCTGGCCGATAGATGAAATACCGTAAAAATTTTAGTTGCAAAAAACTTCCAATTTATCATCAATAAAGTGCAGTGAAATCTCCCAATGGGGATATTTTTAATCCAGGAAAACATAGGGCCAAGTGCTCCACAGTTGAAATTGGCAGAGCTTCACTGACTTCAGTGTCCTTGTGCCAGTTTACATCAGCTGTGGCCCATTGTTTTTATTAGATCAGTTAATGTGGCAAACAATTTGTCTTTGGGGAAAAAGAAATTTAGGGACAGATTTTCATCTCAGTTATGCTGGTGTAAATCCAGAGTAACTCCTCGGTAAATGAGATCAGATTCTGGCCCTCAATCAAAAAGCCATTTGGCATCAATCATAATCAGTGAAAAGGTACCTTCTACTATTTAAAATCACTCATATTTTAGGTGGATAGAAAATTGCAACCTCAGCTTCCAGTTTAACAAAGTCTAATTTCAAATACTGAAACCTAGTTCTCCTAATCTGAATGACTTTAGATACACCTGGGAATATCAAAACACAATTACCCTGAAACTCAATCCCCTTCCTTTTAATTAAAGAAAGAATCCTATCTCAGCCACCTGAGGATCTGAAAGCTACTGTAAGAATTTGACACTCAGAAGAAGCCCTAACAGACAAATTATGAGGGCTGTGTAAGCAAAAGATAATAGCTACCCTACCATTAATAGATTAAATTTAAAATAATTTTTTTAAATGCTCAGAAAAGGCATCTAATCAATCTTGACCTTCAGAACCTTCTCTCCAGCCAAAAATAAGTATATTACAGGAACTAACTTACATTTTTTAAAAAAATCAGGGCTAGCTCTTCAGTGACTTTAGTGGAGCTATGCCAATTTATACGAGTTGAGGATATGGCCATTAATTTTTCTGTAATGTTCTCCCTAATCAACACGTTCGATATAATTTTAAAGTCATCAACATGTGTCTTAAACCTGTCTCAGTCCTCAAACATAATCTAATTATTCTTCCGTAACAGGTCCTCTGATTTCTCTGCTTTAATAATTTTAGGAATAATGTTATAATTTGCGGAACCACATTTTATATAAAATCTTCTAAAGTTGATAGGGCAATGTCACAGGGGGCTGGCCCTTTAATGGGAAATGGGTCTCAGTCCCTCCTGT